AGATATTTTAAAATATTGATGTTTTAACATTTGAACACTTTCGGCATTAGTATTATATTGTACTTTCCGTATTACCTGAAATGATATCACATTCGATTTAAGTGCCCCTATTTGTCACGTATTGAAGATTGAATCCTCTTTGCCAGAAATTATGATGAACAAGTAGATAAAGTCAATCACAACAATGATTCTCGAAAAAATTGTACGTAGAGATGATAAAATTTAGGTCAATCTTCAAGAAATCATTCAATTCACATTTTTTTCTTATTTAAGGTTTCAAATAATCTCATATTTCATATTTAGAATTTCAAATAACTAAATTTCAGAATAAAAATTGAGCTCTCGAAATTAACAAATAAATATCAAACAAAAAACAGGCAATTAAGAGCAGACAATAAGACGCAGTTATTCAGGCATTATACGTTACACAACGTATTTAAAAATTCTTACAACTAAAATGATGAGATCGGACGTTTCGGCTCAGTTCGAGCCATCTTCAGAGATGTCAAAAAACATTACAAGTTATTAAAGAAAAGATCCAAGAATGCAGCTCTCAATTTCTAATAAAGCAGCCTCTTCAATTTCAAGAAAAGTCGAATTAATAATACAACAATGCTAAAAAACAAATATAGAATGATACAAGAATATTGATCACGGAATGCAGCAAGTGAGTTCTTGAATCATTTTATACTTGTTTTTATCATTGTTGTATTATTAATTTGACTTTTCTTTAGTGCTCAGTTAGCCATTCAATTAATTTGACAATGTGGCTTCTCAAATTTGAAATTGAAGAGGCTCCTTTAACTGCATTCTTAGATCTTTTCTTTAATAACTTGTAATGTTTTTTTACATCGCTGAGGACAGCTCGAACTGAGCCAAAACGTCTTATCATTTTAGTTAAGTAAGTATAAGAACTTTTAAATACATTGTGTAACGTATAACACCTGAATAACTACGTTGTCTGCTCTTATTGTCTGTTCTCAATCGCCTGTTTTTTGTTTAATATTTATTTGATATTTAGGATTGCTGTCTTTTCTTTTTTTTATGATGTTTTTTATGAGGACGTTTGGAGAGGTTTTCCAAATGCATCCGGATTAATTATGAGCTTCCGAGATTTTAGAGAATTTTCTAAATTTTTTTATTTCCTTTCTCTCCCACGTTATTCTGTATTAGTCCTGATTTACAATAGATGTAGTATCTTTAAGCTATAAAAGATTGACCAATTATAGTTGTATGTAAGAAGAATAATCAACTATATAATTGGTCAAATTTTTACATTAAATTAGTATTACTAATGAACAATTAGATAAGAAATAATTATTTGTTTACTGTTCTGATCAATTTTACTAGCCTCCATGCATTTTTATATCCGAACTGTCCGGGGTTTATGACCTGTTAGTTCTAGTTTAAAAAATTTTGATATGGCAACTATATACATTTTTGTATATATTTAAAATCGTTTTAACAAACTATCGTTTGGTACACGTAGGTTGTTATTAGTAGAAGTTGGTAGGGATGAAGCTTATTTTGATAATCTGTATAAACAGCTATTATGTTAAAATTGCTAGGTTTTTTTATACACACGAATATAATACTATTTAAAAATAATTTCTTATTTTGACGTGATATATGATAGAAGAGACAACATAGAGAGAATAAGATATGAGTTAAATAGCTAACTATGTCTCTATTACTAATTTATTTCTCTAAACGTGAAAATGTTGTTTTGATATAGTTTGATGTATTGTACTTTGGTTGCTATACTAAATCACAGCAAAAATCTAATTTCATGTAAAAAATTGAATTTAAAAAATAAATTCAAATTTATTCACGACACAAGACTGGCTCCAGTTTGAGATTATCGGTCTGAATAGAGGGGACAGACTAGGGGGAATAGTCTGAACCGAGTTACCGACTTAGAGAGATCTTCGATGGAGTTATACGATCCCACGAAACTTTCCTCATAAGTCTCGCTCACCGCCGACTCTACTTACTTAAAACGTACTTATTGTCTGGTACAAACGCTTCTCCGTCCTGAATAGCGGAATTTTTACGTTCTTTACGCGATTTTTTTTTTCTTTCTACTCCATCGCTTTAACCCTAATGTTCCCCTCCATTCGTTTATCGATCCGACGATTAACCGCAATGTCTCTTGCGTCTTTTCTTCTCGCAGGAACGAGAAGTTTTACACTTGCTGTGACGAGCCCTACTTGGACATCACGTTCAACATCACGATGAGGAGGAAAACCCTCTTTTACACAGTGAACATTATCATCCCCTGCATGGGGATATCGTTTCTCACGGTTCTCACGTTTTACCTACCTAGCGACAGCGGTGAAAAGGTAAGCCGGTTTCTCGCTGATAAATATTTACATTTACTTTATCACATTTTTATGAATATCTCTGTGATTATTCTAACATTAAATCTATATTAAATTAATAAATTTGTTAAATAAGGAATGTTTATTTTTATCAGTGAAATGTAAAAAAGTCCATCGAAGCCTATATTAACTGTTCAGATCACAGAAAATTCTTTATTTTCGTATAAATGTAACAATATGAATAAAATAAACGTTTCGACCCTTCAAATCGGATCCTTATCAATATAAACTATAAACAGAAATTACATAAGTAACGCAAATTCCAGATTGATTTCCGACAATTTTTTCATTGTATCTCTGACTGTCGACACCACAAGATCTTTATGTCGAGTCGTGAGAAAACGTTTACATCAAGTCTGACAAGCTAATGAGCGATGTAATTCTACAATTAGTGACGCAATCTATATGACGGTTATATTTTATTATCTAATTTGGCATTTGGATAAAGAAGAACGAACTAAATTGTCGGGAATCATCAACCTAGAATTTGCGTTACTTATGTAATTCGAAACTTTTATTTTATTCGTATTGTTACATTCACAGAAAAATAAAGCACATAAATGTTCTGTGCATCTGAACAGTAGGCTTCGATGGGCTTTTTTACATTTCACTGATAGATTCTTTTGAGCCTCATTTTATATATTTATTTTTTTTTTATTTTTTTTATTTATTTCATGTTTTCTTCAATGTTTCCTAAATAATTTTTTATGCAAACAGTACCATTTTCCTTTCTACTGCATACAGTATGTAATATTTTCCTTTTTACTTACATTATCTTTTGTTGTATGTATATAATTTATATATATATGGTATATATATATATATATATAAATTAGCTTCTCTAATTGAATATAAAAGTATTTAAAAATCGGAAAGATATTTTAAAGATTAAAATGTGTTCATGCTAATAAGCTGTTGTATAGAGGATTTTTGTTGTCTTCTATTAGTATCTTTTCAGAAATACATAATACGGCGAATAAACATATCTGAAATAAAAAGAATGAGCATGAGAAGGACAGAGCCGCGATTAATCCTTTTATTCTCGGAAGCAGCCGCGGGGCGAACGTGCGTGAAATATGCGGAGAATTAGTTCTCTTCCGCGTGTCTGTCGACCTCGTTATTTACTCTTATCTGTACATAAGAGCTAGTAGGTGGTTACTTTTGGGTCGACGATGCCGGCGATTTTTCATTTCCACCCCGACATTTCTACCCTCATCGACTTACTACCATCTCGACTTACTTGCACTATTTTCGCTCGCCCGAGAGCAGATCCTTTTCTACGCTGTCGATGTGTAATGCGTAGTACCAAGAAGATTACTCCTACACAGCAATAGGCGTTCGAGGACATTTTTAAATATTTTTTGAAAATTTTCTTAATATTACTTGGATATTGTACATCATTCGGATGGATTCTAGATGGATTACTTTAAGTTCTTTTAAATTTTTTGATTTTTTAGATGTGGATTCTGCCAAATATTTCTCTGATCTTGTCATTCTATTGTACAAACATCCTAGATATTCGTCTACATATTATAGATATTCTTTGAGAATATCCTAATAGATGTATTCCTAAATATTCACATGCTGTGCGTGATTCTATACGCATTTTCTTGCTTTCTGGCGAAGAATATTTTTAAGAAAAGTTTATTCTGTCACAGAACGACGCTTACAGCTGACGTTCTTCCCGAAGCGCTCTTCCTCGTGCAAAGTTATCGACGTAGCATGGCATAAAAGCTTCACTCGTACGTTCCCCACGCGCTTTTTTCCCGTTAATGTCTACGGCATGTCGCGACATGCCACAAAGGTTATTCGTTACTCTGTGAACTGGTATTGTAAAATATTTTTTCTTTCCCAACCCCCTCGGTCGTCTCCTCTGTTTCTTCTGCTGGGTCGACTGCGAGGACTCGCGTTGAAGTCGTTTCTTTTCTCTTTCTCGTTGAAAAAGCATGGCTATTAGTCGTACTTGCGCGCAGTTGAAGAACTATCGACCGCGCGTACAATTAGCATCTGTCATTAAGAAGAAACGGACAGCAGTTGATTGTGTACCGAAGTACCGAAGGTAATAGGAATGTTTTTACACGGTGCAACATGTTTGTCTTCTCTCATTAATCCTTTCAATGTCGAGTCTTTATTGATTGTGAGAGAAAATGTCAATTTATCGAGCAATTTTCTATATTTTACGCACTAGAAGCTTTTATTATTAAAATAATTTTTAATAATTATTTCAATTAATGCTTGCCATGTTGTAAATTGCATTTCTCTCTGCGTTTAATTTTTACTTATTAAACGAATTGTTTTAAATGTTGATTTATTCTGGAAAATGGTAAATTATGCATATTCAACATTTCTGACTGAAATACATGTGCGATTTGATTCGAGAAAGCACAGTGTCAATCACACATTTATTCTATCTTTAACCGTTTATTGATTTTGCTTCCAAGAAGTAGGTAACGCGAAAAGGAAACGGCACTCTATTATACATCTGCTATTTTCAAGCAAAATATAAGCACGAGACACATTTTACGAGAGGCATTACCTTTGTAATGTTCACAATGAAACATCATGCAATATATCTATACATATAATTCACGTATAATGTGTAACTTTACTACTTTTTATAATTTGTCAAATCATAACTTTTAGGCGGAAAGTTATGATTTTTTAATCCTAATCGGTATTCACGAATTTAATGGACCCGTATGTTTTTTTCTACTACGTTGTGAAAATTTGTTTAGAACAAATGCTTTTCATAGTTTTACACAATTTTAAATTATGTAATCTTATTCCTCGGATATTGATCATTAAAATAAAAAAAAATCGTGTAATTATGTTAACTTTAAGTAAAGATACATTAATTTAAAGTACATTGGATATACCGCGAATACCAATTAAGGCGGAGCAAATACTAATTAGAATAATTATAATAGTATATAGAATTATATAGAATAATTCATATAATTTCTATAGACACGATGTAATCGTTCGAGGAACTGTATCACAATCGTGCGTATGCTTGTTTCTATATTGTCGAGCTCCAATTTCTCGTAGAATCTTTGCGGATACACTACACGAGACGTGCTACGAATGCGAACGACCAGCGCCAGCAAGAAAGTGGCGCGAAGAATTTGCGAACGACTTTTCGCGGAAGCGTCTCTCGTTTGGATGGCTGTCGAGTTGAGACCTGCTATCAACATTCACGTTCCAGGATATACATCTTCTGTCGTGTCAGAAAAATGCTAGGAAGTTGTGCAGTGTCAAGAGTCACATGTTCTCGGAGTGTACTGACTAAAAATGCAATACTTGATAATATGCATATATCGGGTTAAAGTTACTGCTATCAGTAATATGGAATAACAATAATAACGGTAAAATATAAAGATTAAAACATTAGTATTCCTATTGATTTAAAAACAATAAAAAACAAAGTGGAGATCGTTAGAATATGATAATATCCTAATAGTCTTCATTTCATCGTTAAAATAATATGGAAGTAACATTGAAGTAAAACATTTTACTAAATAAAGATTCAAGAATATGAATAAGTAACAAAGTTTTTTTCTTACTTAATATTAAATGAAGTACAATTCGCGCATATAAACTTGAGTATTCCAATAAAAATCGATTCTTTTAAATATTTATGCACCTATGCAATTTAATAATAAATAGGGTTATGACAACATAGAAAGAACGATATAACTGAAAATTTAGGTAGATCTGAAAATAATTTTGTTAAACTATTAAAATAATTGTAGAAAACTCAAACATGATAAGCATGCTGTAAAAAGTTTTGACATTCTAGCAATCTGTTTGAGCATTCTACATAATTATTTTGATAGTTCAACTAAATTACTTTTGATCTGTAGTTACTTTTTTAGATATTTTAAAAAAACTGTTTTTTTCTGAAGTAATTAGATTTTTTTTTCAATTAGTTATAATTTACAAATATAATCTAAAAACATCTATTTTTGATGCACTATAAGAGAGATCGAAAATTTTTATAGACATATTATATTTATAAATTGGAACCAATTTTTCTTTAACGTAATTTGTGGAAAATGTAGTTATTTCATAGAAAAAGCCCTTAAGTCGCAAAACTTCTCAAATATGTGTAACCGTAACAAGGATCGCCTTTAATATTTCGAAAAGATCCTTCTATTGTATCTGTCCTTCGTGATTTATCCTACGTGATTTATCCTCTAGATATCTAGAGACATCTTTTTTGATGTACCGTAGGATAAATCACGAAGAATATATGTCACCATATGGGAATCTTTTCGAAGTATTAAAGGCAACTCTTATTACAATGGTTACACATACTTGAGAAGCTTCGCAACCTAAACACGACAGTATAAGCCAGCTTTATACTTAGAATTTTCTTGCGAGTTTGCGAGCGTCATGTTGTCCTTAATAATAGTTTGTTCTTGTTGTGTAACAATGAAATATTTTATGGCAAACATAACTCATAGGCGCGCGTCTTAGTCTAACGTCAATGAATGCATTATTTTACAAAGTTTACTTTGTTAGAAAGTTATAAATAAAGACAAGGATAGATGTAAATCAGCCAATGCGAGCCAACACAGGTTAGGCGTGTGTGAAATCGTATACTTTATTCTTGAGAAAAATTGACATTTCAACCCTTTCAATTGGATTTTCCTTAGTGTAAAAATAAACATAAAATCAGTGACGATTTCACGAATTAAATTTCCATAAAATAATCAACATTTTACTAAATAACGGATATCCTTTAGAGCTTATTTTTAACACCAAAAGAGATTCTTTAAAAAATCTAAAGATTAGAATAACAATGCAATCTGCATAAATAACGAAGAACAGACAAACAACAATTTGACTACATTTTTCACAATACTTTATGTTCTAACAATATCAGAAAAATTCAAACAATTTTTCAAGAATAACAAAGCAGTTGTGTGTGTGTTCGTCTTGCCTATGTGAGATTAAAC